TAACCAAAGATGGCAGAGCTTTCACAGAAGTCATCTTGGCAACAGGAGAAAAGTTCTCCAGATAATCAATTCCATATGTTTGTGTATAACCTTTTGCAACCAGCCTAGCCTTGTACCTTTCAATGGTGCCATCAACATGATATTTGATGGTAAAAACCCACTTACAGCCTATTGGATCCTTCCCTTCAGGTAAATCAACCACCTCCCAAGTGTCATTCTTATGTAGGGCATCAATTTCTGTTCTCATAGCATCCCTCCATTCTGGAATAGTAAGAGCTTCTAACACAAACCTGGGAATTGAGTTAGAAGCAACAGAAGAAAGGTAGCCCAAATATGAAGGAGAGAACAAACTATAAGAAAGTTGTTTGGAAATGCAATGTGCAGTACACTTCCTTTTTCCTTTCCTAATAGCAATAGGATATCAAGGTTTGGAAAGGATGACTCCAAGGGGGTTGTATGAATACCTGTTGTCTCTTCTATGATTGGAAGTGTAAGAGGCTCATGTGGTGTAGGGGAAACAATCTGCTCACTTTTAGTTCTCTTCCGTTGGTACAACTTGGGATTAAAAAGAGGAGGTAAAGGAGGAGGGATAGGAACACTGGAATGAGAATGAAATGACTGATCCTCCCTTGACTCATTTGAAGGAGGAAGAGTCTCAATAGAAGACTCAACTAGGACAAGAAGGGGGAGAGCAAACAACTGTGATAAATTCTCCCCCTTTAGACAATGCCTCTCCTGAGAAGAATCATAAAAGGAAGAGAGCTCATCAAAGGTGACATCCATTGAGACATACCGAGTGCCAGTTTTCAGATCAAAACAACAATAACCCTTTTGTGTGGGGAATAACCAAGGAATATACACTTGTGGGCTTTTGGTTCAAATTTATGTTTCTGGACACTTGGGATATGTACATAACAAGTGCAGCCAAAGACACGGAGAGAAATAGGAAAAAGATCCTTGCTCAGATGAAGAATACTGAAGGGAGACTTAAACCCCAAAACCCTGGATGGAATACGGTTGATTAGGTAGGTTGCAGTGAGAACAACATCACCCCAAAATTTTGTAGGGACATGTGAGGCAAATAGGATACTTCTTGCAACTTCAACAATATGCTGATTTTTTCTTTCAGCAACTCCATTTTGTTCTGGGGTCCTGACATAGGAGCTTTGGTGAATAACCCCCAAATCAGTGAGATATCAAGATAGGTTTTTCTCAAAATATTCTTTTGCACTGTCGGATCTGAAAATTTGAATTCTGGTATCAAACTGGGTTAAAACAAATTCATGGAATTACCTTACAAGTCTGGGAACTTCATCACGGGACTTCATAAAAAATATCCAAGTGAACCGARAAAAGTCATCAATGAACAARATAAAATATTTGTARCCACCCATAGAAGGTAAGTGGTAAGGCCCCCACACATCAGAGTGCACAATGTAGAATGGAGAAGATCTTTTATTACTCAAAGGATAACTGCTTCTACAATGTTTTGACAACTCACATGACTCACAATGAAGACTGAACAGACTAATTCCCTTAAATAGTTCTGGGAATAAATGACTTAAAGCAGAAAAAGAAAGATGACCCAAACGAAAATGACATAACATGACTCGACTGATGGACTCTGTAGATGTAGACCCAAAAGCAGTTTTTCCAGGGTTGTCCATGGCTCTGTCTAGGAGTGTCCAATAGATATATTCCATTCACCTCATGGCCACTCCCAATCACTTTCTAAGACTCCAGATTCTAAAAAACATAGTAGGAAGGAAAGAAGGTTTCATAGCAGTTCAATGACTTAGGCTGCTTACAGATAACAAATTTGTATTTAGTTTGGGTACATGAAGAGCAAAAGGAAGTACCAAAGAATCTGTAACCTTGATGGTTCCCTTGCCGGAGATAGGGGCAAGAGAGCCATCGGCTAGGGTGATTTTGTTACGGCCAAGAAGTAAATCATAAGAAACAAACAAAGTGGAAAGGCTAGTCATATGATCAAAAGCACCAAAATCAATAATCCAAGGGATCCTACGATTACCTGAAATAGTTGCATGATTGGCATTAGCCCGTATACCTGAATGAGAAAATGCAGAAGATGTTGAATTTTCTGGAGGGTTGGAAGAAGAGGCCACACCCTCTAGGTGACTGATCATCCTTCCAAACTTTTCATACTCTGCCTTCATAGCTGTTAACTGCTCATTAGCAGTCATCTCTTCAGTTAGGCATCTGTCACTATCTGAATCAGTAGCAATATTGGCTAGGGGTGAGCAAAAAAAACCGAAAAATCGGTTAACCGAACCGTTCGGTTTGGTTTCAGTTCGATATTCTTAAAAAACCAATAGTTTTGGTTCGGTTTCGGTTAACCATTTAAAAAAACTGGCAGTTAACCGAACCAACTGATATATATTTATATTATATATTATATATTATATATTCTCTTTTGAAAATCGAATAAGAGAATTCGGTAGAGACTTTGAAATTTTAACCTCTCAATTAAAAGTTCGGCAGTCTGCCAGCTGCCCAGTCCAGTCTCCAATCTCCATCATTTACTCTTTTGTCTTTTCCCCTGCCATAGTGTTAGTACTCAGCCTCACTCTTTTAACTATTTTCTTTTTTTTCTCTCTCAATGTTTCACTTTTCTCTCTCTCATCAGCAAGTAAGCACCAACGGTCCAATGCCATCTGATCTCTTCTCTCTCATCGGCCATTAAGCACAAACGGTCCAACGCCATTTGATCTCTTCTCTCTCTCTCTGTCATCTCTCCTCTTTGCATCTCTGCCCAGCGCAACCTCTCAATCTCTCACTTTAGGCGACAATGACACTGAGCAGTCTGGCACCGACAGCAACCACCAGCACCAACCAGTTCGACACTGACAGTTTTATTTTATTTTTATTTTAATTGCATAAAAAACCAAAAAACCGAACTGCAGTTAATCAGTTCATCGGTTCACCGATTAACCGGTTGCATCGGTTTGGTTTTGGTTTGGATATTTAAAAAACCGATCAGATCGGTTCGGTTTGAAAAAATATCCCATAGTTCGGTTTGGATATTTAACCGAACCGTGAGCACCCCTAATATTGGCACTCCCTGTCTTCATATTATCAGACTTCTTTTGAAACCGAAGAGGAAGAAGCTCAGGGTGCAATTTCCAACACTTGTCTTTAGTGTGTTTTGGCTTCTTACAGTACTCACAAATAATTTCTTTCTTCCCTGAGCTACTTGGAGTCCCTATAACTCCCTTGGGTTTCACTCCCATATTAGCAAAGTGATCATTTAGACCAGCCCCTTG